AGCTTTTCAGGGCTGAAGCAAGGACTGTGTCACATTGTGTGGCAAAGATAGAAGCCCGTGATATAAAGTTTTCCATTCTAGTCATGAGCCATTAGACCTTAAAATCATCATATGTCCAGGCCTGAATACTGCCTATCCTATCCCTAATTCCAGTGCCTAATTCAGCCATCCCCAACTCATTATGATGAAGTCTTCATAGCCCCTCTCTCCACACATACCATTACATAATCTTTGTCTCTGTATATACATGTTACATGAATCAATGCAGACACAGAAGCCATACCCACACTAGGATAAAAGGTGGATTTTTTAATGTGTGTTAGCTTAAGCTGTAGGGCTCATCACAACCAATTAACTCATGTTAAAAATTACTATTTGCCTTGCTTATACTAGGGTTTTGGGGTATGATTTTTAACATGTTAGCTGATATATTTAAAACATGCCTTTATTTCTAGCGAAGAAAAGGCCACACTAGGCAAGCATGAGAGAGAATACACATACTAAGACGTTACACAGATGTACTGCCAAGTCACTGACCAAACAAGGCCATGATTTGGTTTTGCCTACTGAAAATTTCAACAACCTTCTAAAAACCAATAAAGTTTTAGTGTAAACCTAAAAGAGATTTTCCAATAGTTAATTACAATAACCAGTCATTCGAGATCATTTTAAATCACCTGTTTGGAAAGAATTGAAGCAACAACAAGAATATACCTACTTCTTTTCTGGGAAACTTAGTTGGGAAACGAAGCCATTCATATGCAGTTTTTCTAACGATGATCGGATCAAGTATCCTGATTTGATTAGGTTTATATATCATTTTCAATGCCGGTTTCTTCCAGAAACTATTAGTGTTCTGTAATAGTCAAATATATTGATTTTATCTAACTCACTCATCATGCATTTGAAGTGGGTGGAGGGGGAGAAAACAAATACGTGATTTTTTTTTTTAAAGTCACTATAGTCTCTATGATTTTTTACATTTCTCAAAAATATTACTGAAAAAAATAGAATAATGAGTTTCTTGTATAATAAATACCAACCAACCCAATAGTGTGTTTATATGATCATTTTATGAAAACCCATATACAAGTTTTCTAGAAAGAAAGAATTATGCACTAAGTCTCTCTGTCACAGCATAGAACAGTGAGAAAAAAAACTGGGTCCCAGTAATACCTTCACACACATAAGGACATCGGCCCCTTGAAGTCAAAAGCAATTTCATTTATGTATCGAAGGCAGAATTTGACCTGTTCTATTTTGAGATAATTTGGGTGATCAGTTATATTTTCTGTACTTTGCATGATCCTTGGCATGAATGGGGATTCATTTTGACTTGAGTTCCTTCTGCTGCTTACAGGGTTGCCAATTCTACTTTACAAGGTTTTCCCTATAGACTATGCAGATTTATTCAAAATAATGCAAGTGATACACATTTATGCAAATTCAGTATCTACTGACATTTGCTTTGAAAATGTTGGCAAATAGATGTTATTGCTCACTTTGAAAATGGAGTAACTGATTCTGGTCTCACTTACACGAGTATAAATCAGGAATAATTTCACTGAAGTTTAATATATTCTAAGGCCCACCTTCCTCAATAACTCAGTAATTCTAGAATAAGGGAGAGCAGAAAGAACATCCTCCACTTGTGATCACATTTTAAAACAGCATTACATGTCCTATAAAAATTCTCCTTCTCAATCAAATCAATTTTGCTCTGATTCCATGTTCCAGTGTGGATCAAAAGTATTGTCATTTAGATAAGGAACAGAGGACAAGTGGGGGGAATGCTTTAAAAAGTTTATAAAACTAAAAAATTAAATGCTTTGAATTTTTAAAAACTAAAAACCTGTTTCCATGCATATATTCCTAATCATGTAAAACTGTGGGGGAAGGAATCTTAAGACTTGGGCTATGTCTAGTCTGCAGTGCTTTTCCAGTAAATTGGAGGCATCCCGGAAAAGCAATGCCGCCGTGTCCAAGGAACACGTCTGCTTTTCCGAAAAAAGCATTCTATGAGGAAGGAGGACTGTGTCAAAAGAGCAGGTTTTTCTGAAATTTGGCGCCATGTAGATGCCAAAAAAAATGTCTCTCTCGACCGAAAAGCAGAAAAAGATACGCAAATTGCGGTTCACAATTTGCATATCTCTTTTCAACTTACTTTTGTTGTCTAGATGTAGCCTATATGACATAAGAGAGTACATGTCTGGCTTGTTACTGATTGACACCAGTTGAGGCTTTGACCCATAATATTTTCCAAAGTTTTTCTTGACTTCAACTAAATTGTAGGGACATAGCATGAGCAGTTCTGCTAGAAGCAAGCTCACACAGACATACAGTTCTGTATTATAAACAAGATGTTATTTATTTTACTACTTTAGTTTAACACAGCACTTCTCAGGGCACGTCTAAGACTACCCACAGGTTCTGAAAGAAGATATGCAAATTAGGCACAAATCTGCATATCTTCTTTATATCCCTTTTTCGGAAGAGTTTTTTCAGAAAAAAAAAGCAGTCTAGATGGGGGTTTTCGCATGAAAACACCCTTTTTCAAAAGAATCCTGTAAACCTCATTTTTTGAGGAATAAGGGTTCTTTCGAAAAAAAGAGGTTTTTGTGTGAAAAACCCCATCTAGATTGCTTTTTTTCTGAAAAAACTCTGAAGAAGATATGCAAATTGGTGCCTAATTTGCAAATTGTCTTTAGGAAGCCATGGGTAGTCTAGATGTAGCCTCAGATTAGTAGTAAGAGGTTGATGTGTGCACACAGCCAAGATAAACAAAGTAATGACAATTGGAACGCAAACTAGATACAATAAATAAATCAACTTACTATTTTCTGACCAATTAATATATCACAGAGCCATTTTAAGTCATGTGGTTTGAAAGCCAAAAGAACCACAGTAGTGTCAGGATCATAGTGAATTGGATCTGAAAAAACAGACTCTGGATAAAAAAGTCGGAAAGTTGTTCTCCTCCCAACATCCTCTTCATACCCTATAATGGGACCATCATTCATTCTGTAGGCAAGGGAAAAAAATATACAGACAGAATTACCATAAATCCATTTTGGTGGTCTCTATAGGGCAAATGGTACAAGGATTTAGGAGCATGACTTATTAATAATGTTAATTAGTAGATGTGAGGTTATTACAGTAGATCTTGCATCAGGGTCTTCAAACTTGCAAGAAATTTGGTCAAGATGGTTAAAAATAAATTAGAACATTGCCAATCATGCAGCCCTGTGCCAGCAAAATTCCTTTTGGGCCCATAAACCAATACACTCTCTTAAAATTTAAAATTATCTAGTTCCGTTTAATTCAGTAGCAATTTCTTCCTAAGCTATGATGTGGGAAGTCAAAGCCTTTGTTTTTGTTCCATTTGTTTGGTAATTGACAGCCAAGAGAGTAGAGTTACACATAGCCTAGAGTAGACACCTGTGCAGTTACCTTGGCAACTCCCCAGAGTAAATCTATGTATACTTTTGGATGGGGAATTCCAGAAATGCTGTTGGCTGACGGTGAATTTATGCTGAAGAACACTGAATTTTACCTTCAGTTCAGAAGTTGGGGGGTGGGAGGAGGATTGGAGACTGTATGTCCCATGCTTGTATAGACCCTCAAATGAGGTGAAAGCACCCCAAGGAAGACCTAGCTTGGACAGTTACTGATTCAAGTCTGGAAGATCCTGGTTCCAGAAGACAATACAATTCTCTAAGGGTACATCTACACAGCAGAACTAAAGCTGAAATAAGCTACGCAAATTGAGCTACGTCAATTGAGTAGCTTAAGTCAAAAAAGCTTATTTCTGCTTTTGGCGCTGTCTACACAGCAGGAAGTCTGAGTCAGAGCACTCTTCCTCTGACTTCCCTTACTCCTCATAAAATGAGGGTTACAGGAGTCAGAATAAGAAGTCCTCCAGCTCAACATGTAGATGTGGACTATGTTATTTCAAAATAACATCAGTTAGACGTACCCTCAGTGTTGGAGAAATTAATGTAGTTAAATCTCTCATGTATCTTGACAGGATTCTGTGCATCATTCACCTAGTTTTGATTTATGGGGTGGGTGTATATGTGTAAAATCTCTCTCTTTTTTTTATTAATTTTGTATGTTCTGAGTGACTACTGCTTTGAGACACCCCAGCAAGATATTGGGGATGATGTTCTGCTCTGAACAGTTAAACAAGCTGACGAGCAGTGGTAGAAATCACCTTCACGCATCCTTTATTTTGTAGCTGTCCTGTACTCTGTGGAACAATCTGCCAATCCCCACATGCTAAGAACTCAACCAGCACTCGTTAAAATCCACTACTTTCACAAAGTCTCAAGAGGATCATCTCCCTCATCATCATCTCTATCACTTTGCATTTTACACTAGGTTCAAAGGGGGCCAGTTACAGAACCCCGCAGGTAAGCATAAGAAAGGGCACCTTACCAGAGTGTTAAATGTTGGGAGGAGGAGGGACATGGAAAATTGCAACAGTGTCATAGGAACAACAAGAGGGAAATCAGATACAAGGAGAATGCGGAATAAACAGAAAGAATTGAAAGTATCAGAATGCAAACTAAATTATGACTAGCTTTGGATGGTTTAGACAAAAAAAAATCCTGCATCTTGGGTGGGAGGTTAGACTAGAGGACTCTTGTCAGTCCTTTCTAATACAATGAGTCTATGATGTAACTGGCATCTCAGATACCAGATCATGCATATAAATTCTGTGAAAGACACCAAGCTGGGAGGTACTGCAATCATTGTGGGGTCTGATTCAGAATTCAAAATGACCTTAACAAATTGGAGAACTTTTCTGAAATCAACCAACTAAAAATCAATAAAGACAAGAGCAAAGTATTACAATTGGAGAGAGGGGAAAAAAAAAAAAATCACATGCACAGTGTGACGGGGTGACAACCCCACACTAACCGGGGCCCCCCTAGGGGGCAGGAAGGAGCGGACGGCTTCCCCCGCCAGGGGGGAGGCAGCGGCGGCAGCTGGGATGCGCTGCCCGGCCAGCGGCTTGGCTGGCGCTTTAGCCGGCGTGCCAAGGGAGACTTCCCCCACCCCGGGAGAAGCTGCGGCAGCAGGCATGCACCACACGGACGGCGGCTTGGCCAGTGCCCCCACTGATGCCCCGGGGAAGGCCACAACGAACAAGGGCACCAGGAAAAGCACCGGGGGCGGGGTCAGCAGGGAAGGGGGAGAAGCCAACTGGGCAGGCGCCTTAGAAGAGGGTGTGGCTGGGTCCTGGAGAGCAAGGGGCAGTGTCCTCCACAGTATAAAGGAGGTGGGGATACTGGTAGCAGGGAGGCCAGCCAGAGCAACAGATGAAGGGGCTCCAGGCCTCCAGAAAGAAGCGGACGGGACACCTGTGTGAGCGGGGGTGAGGAAGCAGCCCAGGGTGGGCACAAATCAGATGCCTGCGGGCTGATGAGTTGCAGCACGTAGCCCCATCAGCCAGGTGAGGGTACAGCGGATATTCTCCCCCACCTTAGGGCCCTGGGCTGGGGTCTGGAGAGAAGGAGGGCCCGGACCCCTTCACTCCCCGCTTGGGGCAACCCCTGGGAAGCCAGGGAAAAGGACATTCTCACGATCCAGAAGGGCAAGTCGAGGGAAAGTAAGGGAACAGAAGAAGAGAGGGGGGAGGGGGGGACTGGCAGACATGACTGGGGCACCCCATGACACGCAGCTACAAAATGGGAAATAACTAGCTAGGTGGCACTACTGCTGACAAGGATGTGGAGGGTTACAATGGATCACAACTTGAATATGATGCTATGTCTATACTACCATTTTTGTCATTGTAACTTATGTGTCATCAGAGGGGTGCTTATTCACATCCCTGTGGGACATAAATTATATTGACCAAAGTGCTACTGTGGACAGTTAGCTGAATACCGTTCGGGTACATATTACTTTTCTATATGGAGTGGAGATGTAAGTGAATGACTTTTGAGGGGAGCTGTCAACAGCAAAATAAAGGTGACAAGGAATGTTAACGACTTTTCCTTTTATCTGTTATTTTCCCAGTTTTCAAAGATATGGGTGGGTGAAATGGGTCTGTTTATCATTTATACAGAATATAATATTGCACAATTTATAAAAATTGCTTTAAGATGACAGGAATATACAGCATAGCATGGGATTTTATTGTTAAATGGGTGCATCTATAACTATAAACAAATGAACTTTGAAGCTACTTACTCAAATAACTTCGTTACAGAAAATGAGAATACAACTTACCTTATCACCACATCATAGGAGTCAATTTTCTCCCCTAGCGTCTTGTTTCGAAGTACTCCTCCATTGCCAACAACTACACACCTTCTACAGGACATGCTGTTGAACAAATGGAACTTCAATATGTATGCTCATAAAACATTTCAAATTTATTATGGTTTTCCTTTAAGGTGTTCCTGTCCTATGAACGTTTGGTTCAGTTTAGTTACCACTGTTTGGATCTGATTTGATTTTTGTTTGGTAAGGTGGGTATCCAACAGCACCCAAGTCACATTCAAAATCAAACACTATTGTAACATTCCAGCTGGGACTGAATTATTTCAGAAATTGTCACAACCATGAAATAACAACTGATTTATCAAACACCTAGCATTTACAGATTATATTTAAATCAATAAATAGCAAAGCACTCTACAAAGGGCACAACTAGTTGACAAGTTACAGTACTACTCAGCATGCCTACAGTACTGTAATTTAGCTTACAGTACAGACTAGGACTTCAATATACAAAGCAGCCCTTTTTTCAGTGGAAGTATTGATTCAGTCAAGTTGTACTTGACAGAGCAAGAGTGGAGGAATCAGAACCAAACACATTCCTGAAGAATAAAGCTTACAGAAGAGTTGAGACAAGATGTCTCTCAGCCCTTGTCAAAGTGTTATAATTAAGGCTAAGGTTTAGTCAGGGGTGTTTTTTAGTAAAAGTCATGGACAGTTTTGGGCTAGGAATGTCTGTTTATTGCCTATGACTTATGACTTCAAATGGGTAATAAAGCTGCTCCTGGGACCACTTCTCTGGGAGCCCCAGGGGACCAATGACTGCACCCTACTCTAGTGGCGGAGGCTCTGAGGCCCTCCTGGGACTACTGTTAGTCTGGTGGCCCCCGGGGCCAGCTTTACTGCTGCTCTTCCAGTGTCCTAGAGCCACCTACATCAGCCACTGCTATGGCAGCTCCAAGGCCAGCTGATCCAGCAGTCATGGAATCAGCCACATCAGTTGACACAGAATTCATGGTGGTCCCACAACAAGCAGAATCCATTACTTCTATGACTTCCGTGACAGACTCACTTCTTACCCCGACTCCTGTAACTCTCATTTCACAAGGAGTAAGGAAAGTTGAAGGAAGAGTGATCTCCCTTCAACCTCCTGCTGTGTAAACAGCACCTAAAGTCAAATTACTTCAACTTATGCTACGTAATTGACATAGCTGAAATTGTGTAGCTTAATTCGACTTTTGCCGTGCTGTGTAGCTCACAGGTGTTGTTTTACTAATGGGAGCCAGGACTTGAATATAGAGTTCTGATAAAAAGAACACATAAGTATCAGGAATATAAGTATCCCATATATGGAACTGGCATGCTTGAATGACATCCAATTGCTGTATTCCAAAGCTATTATTCAGACCTGCAAATGCTTATTCGAACCAGCAATTCCACTGATTTCAATAGGACTACTCATTTGAGAAGGGATTTGCCAATATGTATTTCCGATAAGACTGGGTTTCAAACTGCATCCCTATTTTAAAATATATATATATATTTCTCTCCTCTTCATTGTTCTACCAGTAAGCCATATAATTTGCTTATTTTAATACAGATTTTGATACAGATTTTAATAGGTGTCTTCATGACTACAAACCACTTAATACAAACAATGTCTGAACCAGAATGAGATGAAAAATTACTGGAAAAATCACTGTATATTTTTTAATATGAGTAAACAAGGCTAAATTACAGTATTTCTAAATTGTATAATTACTTAATTGCTATTCTACACAGAGCTTTTGAGAATCCTTTCCAATGACTAATGTTGTATACTATAATACATATACCCAGGACTCTCTATATCCTATAGTGATTCATGCTTTGTCTATACTGCACAAATTACATTAGTTAAAACAGAATATATAGCACCTAGTCATTACACTGAGACTTATTTTAACTACTACCTGTTAAGTAACCACATTACTAAGTGTTTTCATACTAATGTATAATTCTGCAACAACAAAAACAAAAGGTAGAAAACCCACTAACCATCATACAGACACAGACACACTAAAGTAAGAGTGGAGGGAAAAACAACCTTTGTACAGTATTGTATTTGATCTGTAGCGAAGCTTGCTAAACTTAATTCTGCTACCTAGTTTTGCTCAGCTCTCAAAATAACTAGAAGAAACTTGACATATTTACTGCAGATACTACTGAATATAAGGATTTTCTACACAAACATCTGTAGGTTTGCTTTCTTCAGGATGCCAGTCAGCAGCAGCATGATCTTTCAATATGGCACTCCTCTAACGCTATGAATGGCTTCTGCACTAGTCTCTGGGTGGCAGTTTTTTTTAAGTACACAGACACCTAAAGATGCAGACAGGAAGCTAGCAGGAACAGGAACCCTTAGATGCCTAAATATTTTACAAATCTACACTTTCCTTGTGTCTTCACTGATTGAGGCTGCTGTTGAAAAGTGAAATCTTTTCTGAATTGAGAGCTCCCTGGAAAAAATTGGTCAAATGTGGAAAAAAGACCATTTTCCTAGCTCTAAAATATAGGCCTAAAATAAACTAAAGCTTGGATTTAGCCTTCATGTTCGTAAGTTACAATATACAGAGTCCAAATAGTATGTTTAAAATATGCCCCTGGCATTCTGATATAGGGCAATAATTATAGCTTAACTAGAAGACTTACTGGGCATTGCCCACAGCGAGGGTGGGGTCACGCACTGTGGATGTTGGCCTGGAGCGGGGGACAGGGCAGAGCTGTACACTCCAGCTCCTGGCTTTGCCCTAGGAGCAAGAAGATGGGGGGAGGAGAGGCCACACAGGCCACCTATCGGCACTCCCTGAAACTAGCCTGGGGGCCACAGGGGCTGCGCAGTGGCCAATAGCTGCTCTCTGGAGCAGGCCAAGGGTTTTAGCTGCTGCCAGCCAGTGGCGTCCCACTAGGGCGCTTGCTGCCTTCATGTGGTCATTACACTGTATAACTGCCTCTGCTAGAAGACTCCTCCCTTTCCATCTTATGAGAAAATCAAATTCCAGATATCTCATTGTTCTGGCACAACCAAACTCTGGCCTTGCTTTAAGTTAGGATAAGAGGAAGCTGCACATCACATTTGGTGGTCCTGATTCTTATTGTTTAGGAGGAGTTCTGGAACAAACAAGACTCACAGAGAGACAGACAGACAGCGTGTATTCCATTCCATTCCCACTCTCTATCAATCACCGGATTGCCAGAGATTCTTTGGTGGTGCAAAATAAAGTAAGAGACCAGAAATATGAGAAAGTTGAATCCGTATTAGAACTACTGGATTTTTATTGATATATTTATTGGTGTATTTCCCCAGAACAGACATGGCCACTGGTGGTGAACTGTTGGAAACCCACCTCAACCATGTCTTCTAAACTTGCACTAAAATCTTGTTTAGCTTTGCCTATATACTCCCAGGCTTTTCAATAGGAAAGTCATAATATGGGTGGTAGAGAGAACTGCAATTCCCAAGACTTTAAGGGAAATGGGTCCATATTCAATTAGCAACCCCCTGAAGCATTTAAACTATCTTAAGAGCAAAAACAAGATTCTAAGCTCGCCCACAAGAAGAACATTATTGAATGCTGACCCTACCTGAATTTAAAATGTGGCTTAATTATACATTAGGACCACTTGCTAATGTATGTATTTTAAAATACAGTGTGTCAGATTCTGATCTCAGTTAAACTACTGTAAATCCAGAATAACTCCCCCGATCTCACTTCCTGACTGACTGTTACATTTTAAAACACAAGAACAAGAACAAAAATATAAAAAAACTCTCACCCCTCATCTTCATTGAATAGTCCACAATTTGGTACTCTTGAAAGGCTTCGGTGAAAATAAATCTCTAGAAAGCAGATAGTGAGAAAAGTGTTTAAAATGAAAGAGGTCACAGTATAAACATACCACTTGAGTACAGCATTTTTAGCCAGAATAGCTTTTCTCCATTCATTTTCTGCCCAGAAAATAGAAATCTGAACACTGCCATAATTTAAGACTATATGTTAGTTCACAATCAGTTTTATTACAACTTCTCCGGGATAAACAGCTACCTCTCTCATGTATGCCTGGGTCTGAGAACAGAGTGGGATTCAGATTCAGAGACTACAGATCTGAAACTACTAAACACAGATGAGTACAGTAAATATGGTAGACCAGAATCGCAAATAGCAACTTAACAAGGTTCACTGTTAGACACTTCTATCTAAATGGCTCCCCATCATGATTAGCATCTGCATTCCTCACAGTCTTTAATGTATTTATCCTCCCAACATGACTGTGAAGTGAGGTGATGATATCGTCTCATTCTACAGATGGGGAACTAAGGCACAGAAAGACTAAGGCCCAGAATTTGAAAGGTATGTAGGTATTACTCCAGTCAGCATTGCAAGTCACTTACAAATTATTTTCAAGTGATTTGGCAAGTAAGAGCCTAAATCTCTTTGTTTTCTTCTCAGATTTTTAAAAGGTGTTAATGTACCTATCTACATCTTTTGGTGGCCTAAACACTTTTTAGAAAAACTGGCTATAAATGCGTAACTTACTTTTGAAAATGGGACTCTGCTATCTAAGGCTATGTCTACACTGCAGGGTTTTTCCGGGATACCTGAGGTATCCCGGAAAAACCCTGCCACGTCCAGGGACTGCGTTTGCTCTTATGCTTTTTTCGTGAAAGATCAAATGCGTTCTTTCGGGGAGCCCTGTATTCCTCATTTTATGAGGAAAAAAGGCTCCTCCAAAAAAAGAGGAGACTTTTCCACCATTTGACCCCATCTAGCTAGGGCCAAGTGGCAGAAAAGCCTCTTCTGAAAAAACAATCGGAGAAAGCTACGCAAATTGCAGAGTGCAATTTGAATAGATTTTTCCGATAAAACCCAATAGTGTAGATGTAACCTAAGTCACTTGGCTTTGTAAAGCTACATGGGGCAATGTCTAAATCCCTTTAAAAGTCTGGACTTAAGTGACTTACCCAATGCTATCCAATAAGTGAGTGACAAAGCTAGGATGAAAATTCAGTAGTTCTTGACTCTCATCTCTTTGCACCATAGAAACTTGAGAACATAACAGCCATACTGGATCAGCCCAATGGCCAATCAAGCCTTGCATCCTGTCTTCCAACAGTGGCCAAAACCAGGTTTTTCATAGGGAATGAGCAAAATCGGGCAATCATCGAGGGATCCATCCCCTACTGTCCAGTCCCAGCATCTGACAGTCAAAGGACTAGGGACACCCAAGCACGAGGTTGCAACCTTGACCATCTTTGCCACTGATTGACATAACCCCCATGAATGCATCTCATTCATCCAGGTATCCTTTTTATCTTCACAACATCCTCTGACAATGAGTTCCACAGGTTGACAGTGTGTTGTGTGAAGAAATATTTCCTTTTGTTTGTTTTAAACCTGATGACTATTAATTTCATTTAGTGGCCCTTAGTTCTTGTGTCGTGAGGAGCAAATAATACTTCCTCATTTATCTTCTCCACACCATTTATGATTTTATAGACCTCTATCGTATTTCCCTCAATCACCTCTTTTCTAAGCTGAAAACTCCCAGTCAGTTTACTCTCCCCTCATATGCAAGCTATTCCACAACTTTGATCATCTGTTGCCCTTCTCTTTACCTTTTCCATTTCTAATATATCTCTTCTGATATGGGGTGACCAAAACTGTGTTCAGTATTCAAAGAGCGGGTATGCCATATATTTACATAACAACATTATGAAATGTATGGTGTTGTTATGTAACTCTTTCCTAGTGGTTCCTCACATCGTTAGCTTTTTTAAACTGCTGCTACACAGTTAGCAGATGTTTCCAGAGAAATATCCACTGTGATTATAAGACTTTGCATATATCAATATTGATACTGATATAGCATTTATCGTCTGCCATTATGTTGCTCGGTCACCCAGTTTTGTGTGATCCCTTTGTCACTCTTTATGGTCTGCACACTTTGCTATCTCACTGTTTACCCCTTCCCCAGGTCACTTATAACTATGTTGAACAGCTTGGGTCACAATACAGATCCCTAGGGGACACTGCTATTTATCTCCATTCTGAAAACTGATCATGTATTCCTACATATTGTTTCCTATCTATCTCTTATCTCACTACTGATCCATGAGAGTACTTTCCCTCTTGCCCAATGACTGCTTAATTTGGTGTGAGATCTTGTCAAAAGCTTTCCAAGGGTATGTCTACACAGCAAAGTTATCTCAGAATAACAGCTGTTATTTCAAAATAATTATGCGAGTATCTACACAGCCATTCCATTATTGTGAAACGATTTTGAAATAATGGGCAGCTTATTCTGAAATCTGTAAACCTCATTGTACGAAGAATAACACCTATTCCAAAACAGCTATTTCAAAATAAGGCAAGTGTAGATGCTCCACGGCTGTTATTTTGAAATAGAATGGCCTTGGTGAGGGGCTAAGTTATTCCTCCCCAGTGCCTCCTGGGGCTCTAAATCGAGATAGCACGTCTACATTAAGGAAATCTGCCTCTGTTTAATTTTGAGGCTTCCCTGCACTGCAGAAATGCTATTTCAAAATAAGTTATTTCGGAATTATTATTCCGAAATAAATGTGCAGTGTAGATGTAGCTCCAAAGTCCAACTACCCTTGTCTACATACTGCCTCACCAACAATAGTAGTCAGTGTGTGTGTGTGTGTGTGTGTGTGTGTGTAATTAAGTACTGTACCTGAATAAAAGAAAGTAAAGATCCATTTAATAATTTATAGTAAGTATACAACACACTAAGCATGGATTCTGACTCCGGTTTGAGCCCCAACGTCCCTTCTCTCCACATACAAATCAGTCTGACTCAGGTCAGCAAGCACTTGGGACCCAGATCCTAGGACCCTGCTTTTGGGGGGAAGGGGGGTTGTCAGAGTCCTGCTTATTATTTTGCAACTTGAATATAGTTCCAGCAGCAGATGCAAGTCAGAAGGCCTGCATAACATAGTACAGACATGTTAACAAAGCTTCAATATCCAAGCCATCAACTGTAAACCCAGGTTTCCCATACAATGAAGATACTCAAGCACAGACTTGGAAATACTGGTGTTCACAAGCCTGGGTGAGGCAAACCTAGTCTTAGCATGCACTGTAAACATATCCATAGATACAGCTTATATTTCATACTGCATGCATCCCCAATAAATACTTACCTGTTCTCTTCATTCCATAAGGTAACTCAATCTTATCACTTCCATAGAACTGTGCTACTTTCATGAAGTCATTAGCACACAGGAATGGATATATTTTCTGAAATCTAGAAAGAGAGGAGGAACAGAAAGTTTCTTTTTAATAAAAACACTCATGCTCATTTGAATCAACCACTAGTGCCAGCAATCATTTTAAAAACCTTTCAAATAAATACTTTAAATCGCATGCTATACATTTATTAGTAATTAATGAATGCCTGGGAAACAGCCCAACCCCATTGAATGGGACAAATCATTTTTACAGTGTGACAGTATTCAGAAATTTGAACAAAAAGGAAGTCACAGGGACAGAGTCTCTGCTGGTGTTAACTGGCACAGTTTCTTTGAAATCAGTACAGCTGTGCCACTTCTCACCGGCAGATAATTAACCCAAAGCTGGAGAGAGTGTGCAACATGCTAACACAAAGCACAATTCTTTTTCATGTGAAAAATTATTATTCACACTGGGGGAAAGAGAAAGGAAAACTAATTAAAAGTTTTAAAAATTACAGGGCGGGGGCAGATTTCTTAAAGAGGAACCAGACACCCTGCTCTGAAGAGATTTCTTTGTGTTAACTTTAATACACTGGGAAGGTGCTCAGATTCCATAGTGAGTAGCATTGTGTCAGAGGCCAAAGAGAGGAGACAAGTTAATTGCTCATTCAGAAGGCTTCTCTATTGCTGTCTATCCAGATTATATCACACAAAGAAGCTATATGGAATAAGTTGACAAGTCAAGTCGAACACACATACAAATTGCCAATCTAAACCTGTAAAGTGCTGAAGGCCTTCACCTTCCATGGACTTCCATGCACAACTTCCCTGCCATGAGCTAGCACGTGATTTGACTTCAGTAAGAACTGAGGGGCAACTTGCAGGATCAGGCCTTATATGAGGTTATTTACCTGAAATTGAAGGTTCTTCAAGGTGTGTGTTCCCTATCTATCTTCCACTGAGGGTTTACACTTCCATGCCACACATCCAAGGCTGGAGAATTTGAAAGTAGTAGCATCCATTGATCATAGAACACTAGAACTGGAAGGGACCTCAAGAGGTCAATGAGTCCAGTCCCCTGCCCTCACAGCAGGACCCAGTACCATCTAGACCAGTGTTTCTCAACCTCTCTTTTTTATAAAGTACCCCTTTAAAAAAAGTATACGTACCTCCAGTACACAATTTTTTTCCTACTACTGCAACACATTTGTTTAAACAACTTAATCGTAGCCAGGCGGGAGATGACATTTTTGGGTGTAAAATGATACTGCCAGGTGTGACACTGAGCGGATCAAGTGTGACTACAGGGCTTTGGGAGTACGGGTGAAGGAGTTTGGAGCGCAGGTGGTATTCTCTTCTATCCTTCCTGTCAAAGGTAGGGGCCCGGGCAGAGAGAGGTGCATTCTGGAGGTGAATGCCTGGCTGCGACGATGGTGTCGCCAGGAGGGATTCGGCTTCCTTGATCACGGGGTGCTCTTCCAGGAAGGACTGCTTGGCGGAGATGGAGTTCACCTTTCCAGGAGCGGGAAGGCCTTGTTTGGACACAGACTGGCTAACCTTGTGAGGAGGGCTTTAAACTAGGTTTGTCGGGGGCAGGTGAGCAAAGCCCACAGGTAAGTGCTGAATGTGCGGGACTGGGAGAGGCTGAGTTTGGAAGCAGAGAGAGCAGGGGACACTGCCCCCCTAGTCTTTTAAAAGAAGAATGAACAGTTCTTCCCTGTTCATGTTTTTGTTTCTTCAACAGGGAAGAGTGGGCAGGTCTAAGACAAACATGCTGAGCACATTCTGTCAGGAAGGACAGACAGGGAAAAAAGGGAGGAGGGGTTGCCTTGTATATTAAAAATGTACACACTTGGACTGAAGTGGAGATGAACGTAGGAGATAGCTGTGTAGAGAGTCTCTGGGTTAAGCTAAAAGGGGTAAAAAACGAGGGTGATATCATGCTAGGAGTCTACTACAGGCCACCTAGCCAGGTGGAAGAGGTGGATGAGGCCTTTTTTAAACAATTAACAAAACTATCCAAAGCCCAAGATTTGGTGGTGATGGGGGACTTCAACTATCCAGACATATGTTGGGAAACTAACACAGCGAGGCACAGGCTATCCAATAAGTTTCTGGACTGCATTGGAGACAACTTTCTGTTTCAGAAGGTTGAAAAAGCTACCAGAGGAGAAGCTGTTCTGGATTTGGTTTTAACAAATAGGGAGGAACTAGTTGAGAACTTGAAAGTGGAAGACAGTATAGGGGACAGTGATCATGAAATAATAGAGTTCATGATCTTAAGGAAAGGTAGAAGGGAGACCAGCACAATTGAGGTTATGGATTTCAGGAAGGCAGATTTTGATAAGCTCAGAGAACTTGTAGGTAAGGTCCCATGGGAAGCAAGACTGAAGGGAAAAACAACTGAGGAGAGTTGGAAGTATTTCAAAGGGACGTTGTTAAGGGCCCAAAAGCAAACAATTCCGCTGTGTAGGAAAGATAGAAAATATGGCAAAAGACCAGCTTGGCTTAACAAGGAGATCTTGCATGATCTCAAAATAAAAAAGGAGTCATATAAAAAATGGAAACTAGGACAACTAACAAAGGATGAATATAGGCAAGCAACACGGGAATGCAGGGGCAAGATTAGAAAGGCAAAGGCACAAAATGAGATCAAACTAGCTACAGGCATAAAGGGAAACAAGAAGACCTTTTATAAATACATTAAAAGCAAGAGGAAGACCAAGGACAGGGTAGGCCCACTGCTTAGTGAGGAGGGAGAAGCAGTAACAGGGAACTTGGAAATGGCGGAGATGCTCAATGACTTCTTTGTTTCGGTCTTCACCGAGAAGTCTGGAGGTGTGCCTAACGTAGTGAATACAAGCAGAGAGAGGGTAAGTTTAGAAGATAGGATACACAAAGAACAAGTTAAAAATCACTTAGGAAAGTTAGATGTCAGCAAGTCACCAGGTCCTGATGAAATGCATCCCAGGATACTCAAGGAGCTGATAGAGGAGGTATCTGAGCCTTTAGCTATGATCTTTGAAAAATCATGGCAGACAGGGGAGATTCCAGAAGACTGGAAAAGGGCAAATATTGTGCCCATCTATAAAAAGGGGAATAAGAACAACCCAGGAAATTATAGACCGGTCAGTTTAACGTCTGTCCCAGGGAAGATAATGGAGCAGGTAATTAAGGAAATCATATGCAAACACTTGGAAGGTAATAAAGTGATAGGGAATAGCCAGCATGGGTTTGTGAAGAACAAGTCATGCCAAACTAATCTGATAGCTTTCTTTGATAGGATAACGAGCCTTGTGGATAAGGGAGAAGCGGTGGATGTCATATACCTAGACTTTAGTAAGGCATTTGATACGGTCTCGCATGATATTCTTATTGATAAACTAGGCAAATATAACTTAGATAGGGCCACGATAAGGTGGGTGCATAATTGGCTGGATAACCGTAGTCAGAGAGTTGTTGTTAACGGTTCTAAATCCTGCTGGAAAGGGATAACAAGTGGAGTTCCTCAAGGGTCTGTTTTGGGACCCGTACTGTTCAATATCTTCATCAATGATGTAGATATTGGGATAGAGAGTACGCTTATTAAGTTTGCGGATGATACCAAACTGGGTGGGGTTGCAACTTCTTTGGAGGATAGGGACATAATTCAAAATGACCTTAGCAAGTTAGAGAAATGGTCAGAGGTAAACAGGATGAGGTTTAATAAGGAGAAATGCAGAGTGCTCCACTTAGGAAGGAACAATCAGTTCCATACATACAAGATGGGAAGCGACTGTCTAGGAAGGAGCATGGCGGAAAGGGATCTAGGGGTCATAGTGGACCACAAGTTGAATATGAGTCAACAGTGTGATGCTGTTGCCAAAAAAGCAAATATGATTCTAGGTTGTATTAACAGGTGTGTTGTAAGCAAAACTCGTGAAGTCATTCTGCCGCTCTACTCTGCGCTAGTTAGGCCTCAGCTGGAGTACTGTGTCCAGTTCTGGGCGCCACATTTCAAGAAAGATGTGGAGAAATTGGAAAGGGTACAGAGAAGAGCGACAAGAATGATTAAAGGTCTAGAGAAGCCTATGAAGCCAGGCTTCATGAACTGGGCTTGTTTAGTTTGGAAAAACGAAGATTAAGGGGGGACATGATAGTGGTTTTCAAATATCTAAAAGGGTGTCACAAGGAGGAAGGAGAAAATTTGTTTCTCTTGGTTTCTGAGGACAGGACAAGGAGTAATGGGCTTAAAGTGCAGCAGGGGAGGTTTAGATTGGACATTAGGAAAAAATTCCTAACTGTCAGGGTGGTCAAATATTGGAATAAATTGCCAAGGGAGGTGGTGGAATCTCCCTCTCTGGAGATATTTAAGAACAGGTTAGATAGACATCTGTCAGGGATGGTGTAGACGGAGCTTGATCCTGCCTTGAGGGTGGGGGGCTGGACTCGATGACCTCTCGAGGTCCCTTCCAGTCCTATTATTCTATGATTCTATGTTTCTATGATTCTATGAAAAAGTACACAAATAATAAAGCGCTGTAAAACTTAAAACAAAAATTCAGTTTTCTCCAAATTTCAGTGGTGTTGGCGTACCCCCCAGGTTTCTCTTGAGTACTCCTAAGGGTACTTGTACCACTGGTTGAAAAACACTGATCTAGACCATCCCTGATAGATGTCTATCCAACCTGCTCTTAAATATCTCTAGATATGGAGATTCTACAACCCCCCTGTGGAGGCAGGAAAAGGGAATAAGGGAATTTGTGTGCAGCCATCTTGGTCTTGTTAACTAGAGAGCAAGAGTCAGGCTAAGTCTGTGGCCTGACAACACGAGATCTGTAATTAGACGCTGCCTTCGCCTCTCGCCTCCATAGGGAGATAAGGATAGAATGCTGACTCTGGCAGGGACCTTGAGATAACGAGCATCTGAGTAGAACTAAATAACTGTTAGCCATTGGTGTTTGTAATAGGAAGGAGACTAATTGTTATTGTTGTTATATCTAATAGACAGTATATAAACTGCTTCATAATTGCTTGTATTCGAAGATCTGCCTCGGGGGGGGAGGGGAGACTTCCCCCCTGTCCGAACCAGTTT